CGTAAACTTTGGAAGTATTTACTGAATATTTTAGGCTAGAGGTTACCTATTTTACCGGTTCATTTCTTGTGGTAAGAGCCTTTCTTGAAAACCTATATTTTCTTGTTTATATTTTTATCCTTTTATTTGAACACCAGACTTTGACCATCTTTTGAGAAAACTTTGATGATGACTTTCGAATGGTTGACTATGTGACTTTTATATTCCACCTATGTATTCTTTGTGAAATTTTGGGTATTTTTATAGTGACTCCTTGACCTTGTCAACTTTGACCTACTTTTGAAATCTCTAACTTTTGTCATAATTACTGAACTTTGCCACTTTTATGATTTTTATTTCTTGAAGGTAGATTCATGTTGCGGAACTTTTCTTATGGTACCAAAACTAGTTCATATTGACCTTGGTGTTTGACCTGCAAACCACAACATAAATCATCAGACTCTTTGTTTCACAAACTTGTCTTAAAATTTTATCATTAGCTCTTAAAACATTTCCTAGTGATTTAATAACAAATTTCATGTTGTAGTTTTAGTAATCAAATTTTTGGATAAACTAGTATACTGAAAGGATTAAGAAACGCATATTAGACTTTTGAGTTAAATTAAAACAATTATTTCAAATATGTTTTTCAGCATTTTTATCAAATATTTTAATTCATCTTTAATCAACAAGTTACCAAAATTTTGTGCGATTTTGAGTGATAGTTCCTTAGATATTGATATCAATATGGTGACACCCCCCAAAAAAAATAAAACTAAAAAATCTCATAATCTCCCTTTCGTATCAGTAGCAAACTTGAATTTACTGTGCATTGAGTTCACCAGAGAATTATGTTTTCATAGCATTATTATTCAACCCTTTCGACAGTTGTCTTAATGGCTGAGATTAGCTGTATTATTCCAAAGTCAATAAATCACCCCGCTCAATCGAATCCCGCGAATTTTCGATTTAGGATAGAATATACAGAACCCAGCAGGTTTGGTACTTGTGAATGATTATAAAAAAGCATCGAAAAATATTACCTACATTTTTCCAGTGTAAACATGCTAAAAACATTACGCAAACGACGCATACGTGCGTGTTTGATAGTAAAATCGACATAAGCTGGCTAAGCTCGCTGCCCAAATTAGAGCGGAGAGTATCTGTCAGTTTAGGTGGAAAAAAGTAAATATTTTTGTCTGCTGTATAAATATCAGTTTCGGTGATAATGCCTTGACAATAACCGAGGTGGCGTGATGAAAAGCCCTATCTTGTTGTGACGTTGGTACGCGCCAACGTCACCGTCATGGTTGGTTGGAAACATTTTAAGTTCACTCTCTGACAACCAAAAACCACTTTTACTTGATTGAAAACTTGAAAACAATCTGTACATCAGCATGTTTTTGCCTTTTCATTCACTTGTGCAATATTGAATTCAATTACTAAACCCAAAGTAGATTCCGTCAGCCATACCACCATTGCAAGAAATTTATATTGATTGCAAATATGCAAAAATGATGTCTATAACTCTAATGCTTAGTATGGTACTACAAAATTTTATTACAAAATTATCATCATTAACATGCACGTGTTTTTGACTTTTTATGATTTCCCCTACGTGATGCCATATATTTCATAGTTGAGTAGTTTTGACTAGGGATTTTAGTGCAAAGTAACCAAAATAAACATCTGACCAATTTTCATATTTTTCGGTCACATAGTCAGAAAATTTTCCCATCTCATGTTCTTGTGTGTTTCTTTTTCCTTTCAGTATATATAAACCATAGTTTACACATGGCATGATAGAGAATGACTTGTCACACATACGTATATACTGAATCATATTTTTTTCAAAAGATGAAGTCTCATAATTGCAAAAGTATTTTAGGCTATTCGCAAAGGCAGTTGCAAATATAGGATAACATCTTTCAGAAAATAATAAATCAGTGCTTATTTTTTTCTAACTCCTTGTCTTGTTTTGCAATTTGATTTCTTTTTTTTTAACTTACTTGAACTATCTCTAACCTAGATAACAATAATTAAATTGATTTCAAATTTTGCTTTTAACGTTTGTGACGTCCAAATAAAACACATATTACACATGTTACCTTTTAATCCCCGATTTGTGTTAAGGTGGTTTGAAATAAAAAAAAAACACAATAAAAAATTACAGTATCGGTATAAGTCTACCACAACGTATATTGTGCATTCAAGAGCAGAAAAATTTTATTTTTTTAATGATTATCTGTAGCAATACAAGATATTGATTTTCAAAAATGTGATTCTTTTACTTTAAGCTCATAATCTAGTATCATTGAAAATCTAGTATCTTTGCATTTCTTGCCACAACTAAAATTCTATGTAACTAAATATATTTATGGTATAATACGATTTTTGGTAAGAAATATTCAGTAAGCCTCACTTCAACATTTTCGATTATTTTCTCCATGATATTAAAAACAGCAATACTTTCAACGGTTTCAAGTAAATTAATGGATAATTAAATGCTCATTCATTAAAAATACTACATGGATGGAAAAAGATGGGGATATGTTTAGTCTTAGTACATATTCTAGGAAGACCCTATGTTCTGCCTAGATACAATGTTATTTTGACTATGCCAGTTCTTCTTGGTATTGTGGAATAAACAAGCAACTGAAACAGAGATTACAAGTAACCCAGAACAAAGTAGTACGGTTCATTTTAAACCTTAGTCCTAGAGAGAGTATTTCTAACAATATTTTGAACTCTCTAAATATGTTAAGAGTGGAGGAAAGAGCTAAACAGTTAAGATTAAACCATGTTTTTAAAATATATAGTGGTAATGCACCAGCTTACCTCCATGAACATTTTGTTTTAAATAATAATATCACAATAAGTGCTACAAATAAGAATTTTATTATACCAAAGATAAAAGAGAAAGAGTTTTAATGTTTTTTTTTCTATAATGCAATCAAAGATTGGAATACATTGCCCTTGGAGATTAAAGAGGTGAATACAAAACTAAGTTGTAAGAAAGCTGAAAAATCTTATTTATCTACAAATACTAGTGTTACTACATAAAAAGCTTGTCTAACTTTTTATTGTTTATTGATTATTTTAGTATCATAAGCATTTTGTGATAATTAACAAGACAAAAATTTTAACATCTTTATGACAATGAAACTTGTCCTTTCCGACATGCACGGTGAACAGATTAAAATATATGTGTTGGAATAAACGATATGTGGCATTGCAGCGTGTAAAGAACATTGAGATACTGTAAACAAACTTTTATTCGCAACGACTTTGTTTCGCGATTTACCACGGATAAACTAGTTCGCGACGATTTACTTCCGCGATCAAGCCTTTTGGATCTTTTGTTATTAGACACATACACTCTAAGGACCGGTACGCTGCAAGAAATATTCGCTATGAAGTGGTTTTCACGAACATTGCCAAAATTTCTCGCATCCGAATAAAAGTTGGTTTACAGTTAGTTTAAATGACAAATGAAATTAAATGGCTGAAATCACTGTCAAGAGTATTGCATGTGTAAAATTAAACAGGTTCCACTGTGATAGGTTTAACAATAAAGTAATCTACATCCTAATTATCCGTCCAGTTATCTTCATTTATCAGTCTTTGGGAAAAAAAGAACGAAATATATCTTATTTCATATTTATTACTACACATATAAAGTACATATTTTGATGAATACACCAATATTGCTTTAAAGAATAGTCCAACCCCCTTCCTTGCCGAAATCATATTTGTTTACATGTTTGTTTCTTGATGTTACATATTTTAAAACAAAAGAACTCTGCAATGGAATTAATTTAAAATCTTCTCTTGAGGGTTTGCCAAAACCATGGTTGATCTTTCGTCTGTTAGAAAAAAAATTAAATTAATACTTCACAGATAGGTGTGTAATTGTATTTTTTTTATCAATTAAAAAAAAACTCTTATAACTGAAATGTTCACAGTAATACTAAAACAAAAAAATATATGTTAAAATTTATTAAGGTTTACCTAGTGACGTCTGACCATCATGGTGGTCCCTTTTACTGACGCTCCACTACTTACTGTAGGAGACCATGGGGAAAGCCAGTCTTCCGGGGACCAGGGACCGTTAAGGAAGGCCCGATGACAGAAGTTAAACCACCAACCCCCTCTTATTTTAATGTGAGCAGCACAATTATTGGCAATCCACCCGTCATTATCCCTGTCTGGGGTAGAGAAGTTCATCCCAGACAGTTCATTGTGAGAATATCCTGTATCTAACATAGCGTCACCTGTAAAATGAAACAAGAGGTATCACAGAGATAATTGATTTATATATTTTTAATCTAATCGTCAATAATGATACTGAGGTACTTCTAAGATAGACGGCTCTAGGTCCTGGAAAGAGTGATATTTTTTATATCAATTCCTCTACTCTGACAGCCTGAGGCATAATGTTTAGCCAGGTGGATGTGTGCAAGCGTTCAAGCGTGAGGTGATCTCCTGTCGTTGTATAAACAAAGGGATTATCAGTATGCACTGAATAAACCATGTAAACGGAACAGCTAAGGAATATTGCCTAATCTGGGCATGTTGATAATTTTGGGTTAGGAAATGAGGGCATGGCGTTGGAAAAAAAGGCTTGGCGCCGAGAAAAAGGGGCACTGCGCCGTGCCATGCAAGTGTGCTTTAGATTTAACACTAGAATATGAAAAAAAAATATCTGAAAAAAACGCATTTTTCTTTTTTCTTTGACAACTAACTAATATTTCAATACAGAAGAGTATTGTTATGATACTATACGTACCGGTAATTGAAACCTAGTTTTAAGAACTTAACGTGGATTCATTTACCTAAGGTCCCCGTGGCAGGTCCTGCAAGAAAGAGTTGGTATTTCCCTGTTTCGTCGGAGACAGAGAATCGATTGTACATTTCATACAGCGTCGTACCATTCTGGAGAGTGATGGACACATAAAAGTACGAGCTGTTTTCTTTTGTTAATTGATGGATTACGTCATTTCCTGTATTAAGATGTATGTTTAACGAGCTAAAAACACATTGCATTACAAATTAATTCTATTATAAATATGAATCTGTCGTAATGAACAATCAAATTCTTTTCCTTGGCTGTAGACAGTAATTCTTTCTTTTGTTTCATAAAATAACGCTTAATGATTTTCTTCTCTTCTTTTTTTCTCTTTATTTACTACACAAATCTAATATGATATGTAAATGTCGTAGATCAAATATTTCCTAGTATTAAATTCAAATCTTTGTTACGCTTTAATCTATTACACGACACACCTATTTTTCAAACTTTGAAGGTCGTAACAAGTTCCTATTTGAAAACAATTCACACTTACCAACCCAGACCTCCTGTTCTGGTAAACCAAATCCGTTTTTATATTCCCTCCAGTTCCTGTCAAAATCCAGGGATCCAGTTATTCTTTTTTGGATTGCCTTTAAAGTTAACTCGTATAGCAGATCGTTGATTTCAACATTTGAGGGATACATATTTTATGATATAAGTTAAGAATATATATATATATATATATATATATATATATAAAGCACTAAAAATGACCAACGACACGAACAATAAAAATTGTCAAATTTTCGGGACGCCCTGTCCCTTCCTCAGGACAAAGAAAAAAGTTAGAAAGTCATAAGAACAAAGGAAAAAGAGAAACAAGAACAACTAGCACTACTACTAAACTACTAAACACTAGATATTTACTAGTATTCCTAGTATAAATATCTAGTGTTTAGTAGTTTAGTAGTAGTGCTAGTTGTTCTTGTTTCTCTTTTTCCTTTGTTCTTATGACTTTCTAACTTTTTTCTTTGTCCTGAGGAAGGGACAGGGCGTCCCGAAAATTTGACAATTTTTATTGTTCGTGTCGTTGGTCATTTTTAGTGCTTTATATAAATTTCCATCCTTGACCTTGTATCTACTTGGTAGATCCGACATTTAGGATATACAGTGTTGTTGGTTTTTTAGTGCTTTTATATATATATATATATATATATATATATATATATATATATATATATATATATATATATATATATATATATATATATATATATATATATATATATATATATATATATATATATATATATATTTAGTCTATATTCTGTTAAACAACAAAAACATTGAGTGTGAAATAAATTGTATAATATGCCTTTATATTAAAATAAACTACAAACCGTCCATCCCCCGCCCATTTTGGTCATATCGCAGTATGCCTGGACAGGACTTGTGATGGTTCCATAGGGGTAGATTTCATACACCCCTGAATTTAACTGTCCATCTGCTTGAAGGTCCTTACAGTCTATTGGAATGACTAAAGCAGAAAAAATTTCAATCCATAAAAGATAACTGAAAAATAATACAGAAATCATACTGTGTAAATACAATCCACAGAAATATCTCATAAAAATGGTACTGGAATCATAGAATGTGTATACAGTCCATAGTAAAAACAAATAGACAATAATACTGGAATCATAATATGTATATACAATCCATAGAAATAACAAATAGAAAAATATCCTATCTTAATTCTGGTATTCCTATAACAGAAATTGATGTGATAAGAAATAATTAGAAAAACTATTACTTAGTCATGCTGAGCGATAAAAATCATCATAGTAATTTGATTTTTGGCAAATGAAATAAAGAAAATTTACAGATATACATACTATACCTACAGTTACGTGAGTAGTATCTCCAGCCAGCCTCAGTAAACATCCCCGACTTAATTATCTTCGTGTGGGTCCGACATTTCTTCTTCTGCGGATTAAACCCATAAAAACTACACTCCTTTTGGCAACACGCTGCACACACTATAACTGATGAAGAGTCGTGCTCCCCTAAAAGGTCTTCATTTAAATTCTGTTCATCAATTTGCAGTTGTGCGGTATATTTCCTCGAAATAATGGTAGATTGGCACTTTGCAAAAAAGACCAAAGCTAAAATAATTACACAGAGAGCGCCCATATTGTAACTTGTACTTACAACAACTAGCTGCGTTGAAATAGCTATTTAGTATACAGAACGCCAAATATAAATAACAAAATATACATCAATTACTGAAAATGATTGGCTAATAGTTACGTACTCAGCATGTTTCATTTATCAAAATATTGATTTTGATGAATTCGATTTAAATTACCATGAATGTTGATTTTCAAAATATTCAAATTAATGTTTCATGAGTGTAAGCATTTAACCTAACACAAATCGGAATAAAAGTCGCATTCAAAGTAATATCAGTAGTAATTTTATTCTACTTTTCCTAATTAAATACTTTATATTATTGTACATTGAACTTTATTACTTATATTTTCTGATTAAAAATGATTATTAAAAGATCTGCATTGTCATCAAGTACGTCTCATATTTTTTTATAACTGACCCCTTTCTGATCTCTTTAGTAACTACAGCGCCCGAAATGACGAACAACAGAAAATAAGACGTGCTAGGGGTAGCTTTGCCAACCGCAAAATTATATTTTTAGATACAGAAACCAATCAGAAGCAAAAGATGTAATGAGGAAAACTGTGACTGTGTGCCCGTATTTTGGGTATTTCTATAATCTATCAACAATTGTCGGTTTTATATATCCATATATATTATATAGACAATGTGTTAAATAAAACAATTTAATTGGTAAGCGAATTCTTGGCCAAATCTCTCAAAAGGACAGATGGTGTATAACTGTTGGAAATACAGCATATTTAACGGTGAATTTTGGGCAAACATTTGCTCGGGGTTAACGTTTTGAACAAAAAAGTACAAAACGCCGATCATGTTCTTCACTATTTACAGGTATTTACAGTCCCTGAAACGTTCTACTTTCCCATTTTCCGTTCGCTCACCGTTTGTTCACCGTTCGTTCTTCGTGCGTTCACCGTTCGCTCTTCGTTCACAGTAATGCATTCACCGTTCACCGTGTGCTCGCGTTCACCGTTCACAAAACGTTCACTGTTAGACTCTTACTTCTGTTTACTTTGCGTTCTTCTTGCATTCACCGTTCACTTATCGTTCAGTCTTCATTGTCATTCGGATCTCCGAAGTGAAAGGACTTTTCTTATTGATGGTAAGGATTTACATGTTTTTTAATTAAAAAAACTTAGGTATCGTGTTTAAAGAATAATTATGTCATTGCAAAAATTATCCATGATACTTATATTTCTATCAATATAACTCAGTTGTTACTTATTTCATGAATTTTCCCTGGAAAATAATTAATACATTAAGTACCTACATGTATGTAGAACGATTTTTATATATTAAATTTAAAAAGGACAATTTTAAAGGTAATTTTAATGAGGACAAATTATTAATGGATGTATAATAATTATTCCAAGTCTTTTGCAGGACAAGAATACATAAAAAAATTATTTCTGTAGTAACACGTACCCGTATTTAAACTACATGTAGGTTTGATAATTATGAACAATACTGCACATATTCAGTTAATTAAATATCTTTAGAGTTAATCAAATTAATGGTGTTGTTTTAAATTTTAGAAAAGACCAACTGTTTAAAATAGTCTTTTATTAGAAAAGAAAAATTCCTTACTTATCTGTACCTAAACATGTTTAAAATTATTATTTTTTTGCTATTCAGTATAATTACCCCCCCCCCCTTCTCCCGAAATAAAATTCTTATCAAGTTTTTTTCAGTATATTTTAATTGATATTTAATTCTTATTGTAACACAAGACAATCAGTCTTAAAACCAACAGTCATTAAACAATAGTATTGTAACGTGCAACACGGCCGAGCTTGGTATTGGTGATATGGCTTGTATCACCAGGCGTTACAATAGGTTCGTCAACCTGTTAACTCAGATTTTTGCTGACCAAATAAAATTACAATCAAATATATACAATGGGTCAACGGGTTTCTTCTTGATTTGATAACCACTAACTGCGGTCAACGGGTGTCTCCCATAAGTAATTTTCACTTGTCCTGCCATCCACAAGAACTGACTTGGTTAAACACTGGAATGTTTTCTGGGACACCCCCCCCCCCCCCCCGAGAATAAATCTGATTTAGTAACAAAATATCATTACATGCATTGGCCACGGATTTTTTCCGTTATTTCCTGATTATGACAACGAGCACACGGCGGGTGTGAACGGTCGGCAGGGGATGCTCACTCCTCCATGGCACCTGATCCCACCTCTGATGTTTCGGAGGTCCGTGTTTGCTCTGCTCTTATTTTGTATATTTGTTTGATGGACGTTGAGATTGAATACTGTTCGTTATTTCCATATCCTTCCATGCAGCATCACATCACCAAAATATATGTACTCCGTAATATTAAAAACCGATAGGGGACTTATCTGTTAGAAAGTACAAAAGAAGTTTTTTAATGGGATTCAATTTTCCTTTTTTATTTACAAACTTGTAGGCTTCCTTTATCAGTTTAGTTTAAGTCAGTGTTAAATTTTCACCTAGAAACGACTAAAATTGAGGGGGAAATCTGGATTTAGAAAGGGAGTACATGTACATGCACATCCCCGCACAAGATCCCCCGGTGCACCATAACCACCCCAACCCCCCTCCCCCTAAAAAAATCTGGTTCAATGCTTTAGAAGTTCTTTAAGTTTACTTTTATTTAAATATTATAGAAATTATAACTGACTATATCAAGTTTTCAATCTATGGATAAAATAACCCGCCTACTCCGAATAGTAATGTGACACAATTAAAACCCAACTCGGACAAGCGCAGCATTCTGAAATCAACATCCACTAGGGGACTTTTTTAAAAATAATCTTAAATAAAACTAAAGCGCCATTTTCAATGTAAATTTTTGTAAGTAATATACCACACTGATAACAAGATGTCAGTTAGGTGTAATATTATAAAGATTCGAGTTTATTACATAAAGGTAGAGGGGTCCAACCAAAAAAAAAAGAGTAAGGCACTATGCTGAAGTGAAGTCATTTTTCAATACATTTGTATGCTATGAGGTTTTATTTCAAGATGATTTGATACATAGCACAATTTCTTGTTATGAACATTTAATACAGCCCCCCCCCCCCCCCCCCCCCAGGAGGCGGTCAGTTATTTAATATAAAAGTTTAATATTGTAAAATATATGATAAAACTCTATATTCCTCATATTTCATTGAGTCGAATCATTGGTCAATATTGATAGATATAGAGGACATTTAATAAAACATTAACTTTTTTTTATTTTACAATTAAATATTGCTCAGGTAATATATA